GGTGAAATAACATAACAATACATAACAAACACAAAATGATAAAATATTGTAAAAGTGCGGGAACTAATTAAACTGAATTTTTTAGGTAATGTTAACTGATCTGCTACCAGTGTGAATCGTACCTTAATAATTAATCAACGGAAGCAGTTTAAAAAAAAAAAAAACAATCTTTTTGTTTCGAATGCCATGACCAACATACAGGAACACAGATATGTTCAAAAGACCCATCAACATCATTCTAAAGAAAATCATAAAACCGACTAGCAATAAAACAGCAAATGAAAATACTTAATAATCAAGAATAAACATATTTCATTTAACAGTACCGTAACTTTGTTATTATTTGATCCATATAAAAAATGATTGCGCCAACATTTTCAGCGTATTTTGTTTTACAATTGCGTAAAAATATACAAGTTCTAATTTAAAATTTCAAAGTTGTACTGGCTCTAAAGTCTCCTGAGAACAAGTATTTCATGAAAGCGGTAAAAATGTAAAACTAGTCGAAAAATGTTAAATATGTATTTTTTGGTTTTTTGATAACATCTGTTCCAGAGCAATTCAGCCAGGCTATCTAAAAATGCTTAGCCCTAGCGTAAAGCGCATTATTAACAAGTACGTGCACAGGTTAGTTTAATCCGGGCTAGTGATCTCTCCATTATTTGTAAAAGGGATGGGATATTAGCAACAGGAACCTTCCATAGACTTTTAGAATTCCAATTTTATCAAAACAAATGTATGTATGTACAAATATTTGTCCATGAAAAAAAAAACAACGCTTCGTCTTTCTCAAGGCGCACCTTTTGACATAAAGGGCCTAAGGAAGGCGTTAACTTTTCCAGAACCAAAATTATATTTCGTCGGTGTGATCCGCACGTGTACGGTCTCCATATGGTAGGGCTGGGCGGTTAACGCACAGAAATAATCAATGTACAAATATTTAATAAATATGTATAAATTATTAATTAATTTGATTTAATGGTTCTCAATAAAGTGATATTTGTGTGTTTCTTAGTGACCTGCTGTTTGATAATTTGTTGAAGTCGTGAGAAGCGGTTAAAAATGAGGTAGTTTGGAAAAACACCTTATTCATTTTTTTATCGATGTTTCGACCTTCATTCCGGTCATCTTCAAGGCATAAAGTGTGGTAGTATTTTTGTCGTGTCATATTGGTGTTGTGTAAGAATGTTGTTGACATGTTAATTATAAAGTGATATTTATTGGATAATCAAAAATTTAAATATTTTTATGTTTGTTGTTCAATTATCAGTTAATATATTTTTTTATTTAATCAAAATATGATATTTTCATAATAAATGTTAGGTTAGTAATATAATAGTGGACATTCTTACATCTTAAGTTTCTGGGAATAATAAGAAAAAATATGACAACTCATTTGAATATATATTCTTTGTTTTATTTCTTTATTAGTATATTATATTAAGAATGGCAAATTAACAGAAATTTAGGTATCGTAGAAAGAAAATTTATTTAGTATGTCTTAATTTGTTAGTATTTTACAAAATGCGTTTATCAATTATTTTCAGAAAATGATTCCGTTAATAATTTTATTAGCTAATACTCAGAGTTTCACTTTGTTCAGACTAATCATAGTTAAGTGACTTCGGGGGAGTTAGATTACCATGTTCCCTACAACCACCATTCGCAGTTACTAAATCCTCAAAATTACTTCAAGCTAAAATATCATCTTCTCTGTTTCACTACTTTTACAAAATTAGACAGCTCATTTTGATTCGTAATCATAATGCCCCTTGAAACTTCATTCGTGTATTAAAATTTGATTTCGTCGTGTGGTTCAATTAGTTTAATATATANTTAAAAAAATAATAATAATAACAAACATGGCTGAAGACAAAAGGTCAATGCCAAAAAAAACAAAAAACAAAAAAAACAACGCATTTACTCCACCATTTATGATTTCTATGTTGATTAGTGCATTGAGCAGTTTCCTAAATTTTCTAATTTTGCCACTTTAGTTTTTTGTAAATTATGTATCTTTTCATTCATGGCTGGGTAAGTCAAAAGACTCCAAATTTGTGTCGTAATCTACGCAAAAAAAAGTTAACAGGTAAAACCTCTAGAACTAAATCCTATTAACAGTTTATAATTCCAGTTCCTTATTTTATTTTATTAATATGTACTTCATTGATCATACGATGCTTACCAAGGGTACGACTATTTAGATTTTTATCAGAAAATGTACTCATTTGGGCCTGTAACTCCTGAAAATAAAAGAAATAAATATACCATTTTTTAAAGGAAAAATAGATATTCGTATTTAATTCCAGAATGAGTTCACTTTGTACTCCAGCTGTACAGTTGACTAAATTAACCGTTACCATTGGAAGAAGTATCAATGGAGATATTTTTTATTAAAATTTACCATCTGTTAGCACAACTCTCAGAAAGTCCATCACTAATTAGTGGTAATAAGGAACAACTTCTCATTACAACACGTTTTTAATGTATTGCGCAACTGTTGGGAACCCTCAATGGAGATCAAGTTTGTGCGACCTTCCATAGAATTGCCTGCCAAAACCAACCACCACCTCCATAGCTTCTCCGGAGTGAAAATATTGCGAGGAAATATCGCTGTCCTGTTCTTCTCCAAACCCTTTCTCGGCCTTTCGAAAACCTCAAACACTTTGACTCATCCGTAAAGGATATTTTAGTCCGATCTTGCTCACACCAATTGGTGTGATTTCTTGCTTAACCGAGCTGTTCAGTGCTTTGTCAGACGTTCTGGGCCATTGGCAGGCCTTCTCGCACTTAATCCAGCATCTGAAAGCGCGTCAACTAAAATTAACATTTCTAACTTGTTGAAGCGTTCCTTCATCTCAACAGCGATAGAAATCGATAGGGTTCAAAACAATAAAACGATCATCTCTCTGAGATGTGACACGATATCGACCTGATCCACGACTTCTTGAGTAACATGTTGGTAGCGATGGAAGAACCTTCGGACAGTTGTTCAGGGAATTTTAAACACCCTGGCCATGGCTTGACTTCTTCTATTTTTCAACAATGTTATGATTCTAGCCGAATCTGTATCTCTTAAAACCATCACTCGTGCAAATTTGAGACTTAAAAATGGTACAACTTAAAAAAATCAAACTACTGGAACGTTATAAAAATAAATAGAAAGTATATATAGTAGTAAGTAAAAGAGATTGAATATTCAAAGATTTATTTACAAAATCCAATTGTAAACATAAATGGGAGATTTTATATTTGTTTTTTACCTCTAATCCTTTAATACAGACCAATTATTATGTGTTTTTTTTTTGACGGGCTTTCGACATCTAGGTCATTTCAGCCCCCAACTAAGTCTATATTCTATTTACCCTTTCAAACACTACATTCATGCAAATAAATACATTCATACATATAAATGCATCCATACAGTACACTCATTCCGTTTGGACGGTGGAGTACTTGATATTCCTCCACCGACCTATACTCAAACTAATCTAGATTGGGGTCGATGAAGCACTTTTATAAATATTAAGCCATCGACCCCGAACACACACTCATACGCTCTCAACGTTCGAGGGGCGATGATGGCGTTATATTTCACCCTCGCCCTTCCCCATTCACTCTAATAAATACACGCACTCACACAAAACATAGAGACACACAAGACGTAAGACATATTACATACAATAAAACAAAAAAACAATTTCCCCTAAAAAGCGGAAAAGCGGACCCATAAACCTTCTGCAGAGCTCGAGGACCATTTTTTTCCGCTATCGACCCTGAACACACACTCTTAGGCTCTCAACGTTCCAGGGGCGATGATGACGTTATATTTCCCCCTCACCCCTTGCCATTCACGCTCATAAATACATGCACTCAGACAAAACATATAGACACACAACACATAAGACATATTATATATAATAAAAAAAATTTCCCGTAAAAAGCGGAACAGGGGACTCTGAAACTCGCTACCGTGTTCAAGAACGCTTCTTAAGTCCGGCGGCAAGCTACACGCTCTCTGTATGGAGCCAAGGTATGACACATCGAGCCTCTAGCCTCTATTATGTGGGACACATCGAGCAACCTTTCTCTGCATAAGGGGCACCTGCGCGGGATTTGGACCAAAAGCAGGTGCCCATGTGTCAACCGCGTATGGCCAATCCTCAGTCGGGTGAGGACGATCTCTCGTCTCCTGCTTAGGTTCTCTGAGGGCCATCTACCAGTCGTACTCTTGACACGCAAGAGCTTCTCCGTCGACCCCACCCACTGACACGGCCATCTTTCTTTTATCATATTGAAACGAATTATTGTTGTAAGATAATGAATGGAGGACCGTGTAAGAGAGAATTTAAACCATTTTATATTTAAGTGGTCAATTGACAACGTTACTTCTTTCAATTAATTATTCTTTTTATGTAAGGTTTTGGTTGAGATAAAAAAGTCAGTGTCACAAGCACACGACATTTGAAAATGAAAATGGAGCAGCGGAGTATTTAGCCGAAGATCGTGGGTTCGAATCCCGCTCGTGACACTGACTTCTTTATCTCAACCAAAATCTTACATAAAAAAAAAATAATTGAATGATACTTTAAATTTTTCTAAACCGATTTGTAAGTTTGTCGAGTTTGAATTCACGGCCGCTGGATTGGAAACCGGGACCTTTGCCTTATGGTGATGAGCGTCATGATAACGCCTTAACCATTGCGGCCACCAACGCCTTTGATTTTATTCTTTTTGTAAAAAAATATTTAAGGAACCATTATGTTTATTGAAAAAAATGACAAACACTCAAAATATATCTTATGTTATATTGTACGATAATGAGTAGCTCTAATTTGTTTTGGTTGTTGTCAAGGTACAGCAATTGGATAAGTTCATGCGTACGACAATTGATATTAATTTTATCATCTCGAGTTAATCTAGCAGATTATAAGAGTATTATAGCAATTATAAAGTTTTTATGTTTTTGGCTCGCGTGTAGTACAATCAGAGTGAAGCATCACAATGGATAATCAAGATAAAATAATAATAGCGTAATAACGCTGTCATAAGGTCATTCATTGAAATGGCTAAAGCACCGGTGACTCTGAAATTCGCGAATTTTCAAACTGATAATATATTTTCGAAATGGTTCCGGATCTTGACTTACGTTGGATGCAACTCCTTGTACTTGAAGGATGGGATTGTACGATGGAGCCGGATCGGTCATGTGTACCCGATGCTTACATTGTTGCTGAACGCGCTTTTGATCGTGTATTCAATCTATAAAACAGTTTTCGATCCGCCTCGACGTGAATCGTTCCTACTCCGGTATTTAAAGTGTTTCCAAAACATCGTGTTTTATTTACTGCCAATCTTGTTTTACGTGTTTATGCATTTCAAAGTTAATAATTGGAATCGTTTGATCGAACTGTTGCGTAACGTTGAGATACTTTTCGGCTTCCGCACTAAAGTCCGTTTGGAATTGTTTCTTTTAGCGGCAGCACCTACAATAATCGGTGCGACAGTCGAAATGTTTATTTTTTTTGAAAGAGTAGTGCTGGAAGGCTTTATGGAAATTTACACAATTTTGTCGTTCGTGGTTTCTTTTTTTGCAATTAACTTCTACTATGTCATATTGAAAATAATTCGCCAACATTTTGAACGAAGTAAAATGAAAATCAGTAAACTCGACCACGATTTGATGAACGATGTGATGAAAATTGTCAATACGTTGTTGATCGCATGCTCAGAAGTGAACGCAATTTACGGACCACAGATACTCGTTTCTTTATTCTGCTATTTTCTTCTTCTAACGGCAGAAATATATTCAATTATTTGCACTGCTGGAAAAATTACAACCACAGAATCGTTGATTAGTTTTACTTGGGCGTACTCGTATTTTATTCAGATAGCGGTACTCATCTATTCCAGTGCTGAAGCTACAAAACAGGTAAGACGTTTTAAATAAATTTTGAAAATCTTAAAAGAAACTTGGAAAATCCTTTTGGTATGGAAACTCGTTCTCCATTCTGTAGTATTACCAACCATATAAACTGCCACACACTGTAAAGGAATGTAGATATCTAGGAATATTATTAGAGACCAAATTAAAACTTGCAATATAAGTTAAATACCTGACTAATACATAAAGAACTTAATCTTTAAATTTGTTGAGATAAAGCAGTTATCTGATCACTAAGAAGTGTTTATCTTGGCTGTGTCATTGTATGGAAGAACACTTATAATTACACTGCATCAATTAAATATATGCATATAGAACACTATTAAAATAATATTAAATAAATTCAGATCAAAAAAGCAATTATTCAAATCATCAGCAGGGACTCATCTCTTCAAAGTTGATAAATTTGAAAAATTACTTTTATCTTGATTAAAATAAGAAAATCTATGAAAACTAATATTAAAATATCTCATTATAACATGTATTTGTACGTAAGACATGCTTAAATGATAGCACTTAATTTTGCTATGAAATTTCTATTCTAATTTACTGATTTCAAGATGTAAAAAATCTTATTCATAGCATGATTTTATATTATAATTTTCACAACTCATGAATACACACTACATAGTACATGAAATATTTAAATAATAAAAAGATGAAAAAGAAATTACTAATTATTAAGAAATCGTGAGATGCGGTCTGGTGTGATGTAGGTTTCAGAAAAACATTTTCTTTATCGTTCCAACGTTTCGATCTTTATTGAGACCATCTTCAAGGCCTGGGATTTACAAGCATTGTTTACATTTAACAAATAGATTTAGGATGTGGAAAAGTGAATTTATACAATACATATTTACATTTATTACATAACAAAATATATTTTTTATATTTTATCATTTTATATTTTATATTCAATCAAAGTATTTCTACTCACTCAAATTGTTTGTCTTCTGTGTAATTGTACCATTCTTGCGTATCGTGTTGAGAGAGCCAGTGAGATTTTGCTGTTTTATATTTATATACGTTGGGTTTTGATGGGGTGGGGAAGGAAGTCGGTATAGAAAAGACATTTTTGGAAACGTTGGCACGATAAAGAAAATGTTTTTCTGAAACCTACATCACACCAGAGTGCATCTCACGATTTCTGAATAATTAATTTATTCATATGGTAAAATACCTCATTGTATTAATAATGAATACAAAATTATAATTTATTTCTTTATTTAAATAACATCTTCGGTCCTCTACGCAAGGTTATGCTTTATCGGGCAGGCTAAACAACAATAATTGAATTTTTTTCTTAATTTTTACTATAATAACTAAAAATGAGAGACTGACAAGAATCAAAAGGAAAATTCTTATTTTCTTTTTGGGGTATGAAGGGTGATGAACTTGTACTTTGTCGTTTCCGATCATCTTGATCTGCCTGCCTCACTGTTTTTTTATTTTTCTCCAACATAGAAAAGTATCCTCGTACAAATAAATATTAAAAATATTATATTCCATTGTTTAGCACAAGATACAACTAAATAAAATAAGGAAATAAAATGTAGCAAATCTGATCAGAAATGTAATCAGTGATCTGAATCATAAGCATTTTTGTTTTAATAAAAAATGTTTATTTGAATGGAAAAATAAAAGCATAGCGATGAGCCTATCTATACTCACACTGATGATAGTCTGACACCATTATATTATTATTATTTTTTTAGCCATACAAGCGTATGGGAAATGTTTAAATTATGGAACAAAAATTCAAAATTCCAATTTTAAAAAAAACAGGAATAAATTTTATATGTAATTTAAAATGGGATTTTGCATACATTTCGCGTTCCAAATTAAGAGTTTTAAAAGATTTTAAAGAATAAATTAATGCTTTGGATGGCAATAGGATAAATAAATTATTATTATTACTATTATTATTAGCCATACAAGTCTACGGGAAATGTTTTAATGATGGAACAAAAATTCGAAATTCTAATTAAAGAACAGGAATAAATTTTATAAATTAAAATGAGTTTTTTGCATACATTTGGCCTTCCAAATTAAGAATTTTAAAAGGATGAATAATAGCTTTGGATGGATTAGTTGGACTTTAGATTAGTTTTGAGTAAATATTTGGAGTCACAGCTTTACAGCACTCAGTAAGTATATAGCTAACCTAAGATAGAAGGATTAAATGTTAGGGCGTCAAAAGTCGTTAGCCGTTAAAACGCCCTTAACAATTTATAATAATAAATGTTTATTACGTTATGAGTATCAATTCAATAATTGTAAATGACTACATCAAACGTTATTCAATTTTATTATTACTACTACTTACCTTAACTATTTTTCATATGTATAGAATCTTAAATCTACTATTCACTTTGAACTATTTTTCATATGTATAGAATCTTAATTATTGATGAATTTGTATTGGTATCTTAATTGACATGTGGGTTTTCTGACACTAATAAGATGCATTCTGTTTTTAATTTATGTGTTATGTCAATACTGAGCTGTATAGTAAACAACTGTTACATTGTTTTGGACAAGTGTTTTGAATAAACGGTTTGTGTCAATCATAGGATGTTTAACAACACAGTTCACGATATACAAAGCAACTTTCGGAAATTGATGAATTTCCCTTTCTCACCCACCCATGACCGTATTATATCAATCTATCATATAGTTCACCAATATCAAGGAAGACTAGAGTAGAAAAAATCATAATCAAAGGTGGGGTACACGCCGAGAAACTGACAAGCCATGCCACTCTTTGGCAATCAATCAATAAATACGATAATTAAAAATAATTAATTTTAATTATATAATAGTTTCTGTAATATTCAAACGGGGGACCGCGGTAGCCGAGTGGTTAAGGCGTAGACCCCGCGGTCGTGGGTTCGATCCGCACCGTCGCCTCTGGACTTTTTCTGACGCCTAAGGGGACCGGTAACCGCAATTGAAAGAAATTGACAAGGCACTCATCATTGGAAGGAACGGGATCAGATCTCAGCGACCCTGAATGGTCCCAACCCCCAAGTACAATAAGCTGTACAGCTGCAGTGCTCAGGAGGGAACTCCTCCAGTTCCTGGTATCCATTGTAAATATATATATNTATATATATATATATATATGTAGGATGAGGGAGGAGTGTAGAGTAATTGAAATCACTTGCAACACAAAAATATATTTTATTATTCAAGAAAAATACAAGAAAGACAACGCGATGTTAAGTCAACACGACACACTAGGCATTCGACACTTGAAGTAACCTCCCTCTGTCAGCTGATCCTTTTGTTGAGTTATCCCGCAGGGGGCTAAATTAATGGTTGGAAGCTTCGATCCTACATATATATATTCAAACGAATGCCGAATGTTGTGTATATTGCTTCAATTGTCGTTTTATTTGGTAACATTAATAAAAGTGGTTTGGAGACCGAATTATCTTTTGTTGTCTTTTTTCACTACGGCGTTCCTACGGCAAAGTCGGACTGCGAATAATTCATTCTGATTCCAAGTCAACACATCATTTTTAATAATAATGATCATTTTTTGTTTGTTTGTTGGTGTTGTTAAATCAGGGCACGACATTACAATTGCAAATGCCATTCACCGTTCAGATTCTCGTAATAATAAAAATTACAAGTCTATTCGCGAAAATGTTTCCGGGCAAGATATCTCTGTGTTTCATCGAGAAAATGTGTTTGTAATTGGCGTTTCGTCCTTTCTTTTCTTGGTTATAATTCTTTATACTTGAGCGATGGGGCCTGCGATGGAGCTGATTTAGACTGGATTTTCCGATAACAACGATGACCGGGAACGCACTATTTATCATTGTTGCTGTCTATCGGTTCCCTAAGTTTTATAGACTCTCCCAGTAGATCACCTCGATGTAATTTTTAAGGATTTTTTTCAAACTGTAGCCTTTTTCTATTCTATACATCGCTTTTGTTAAAAAGAAAAAAGTTGGAGCTTTTGGTCGATTTAGTACGCAATGTGGAGAAATGGTTGTTCTTAAAAAGAACCATGGCCATTTTTCTTAATCATGGCACGTGTGCTTAATTGGTTTGCAGCTGCGTATTTAGCCGAAGTTCGTGGGTTCGAATGCCGGTCGCTTTTTCCTCTCAATGAAGACCATAGACAATAAGTACAATTAATTAACAAAACTCGTTTACCAATTTTTTCCTTATTTGACTGATCTATTTTTTAGAACGCAGGATACTAAAAGACGATAAGAACTAAGAAAATCAGGTTGTTTATTGGTTTTCTTGAAAACGATTTTGTTTTTCCAGGTTTAAATAAAGTTTAGGATTGTCAATAGCAATGTATATTTTAAAAACGATATTTCTACCTAAGGCTTACAATACAATTACTTACTTTTTGTTTTAGATGGTTTTATAATATGTGCTAGAGGCTATTGCAGCCTATCCTGGTATAATTACTTACTAACTGACAATCAGTATGAATGTTAACCACATAAGTTGAGAATATTATTCTCCGTCTTTTTAAATGTAGGTCATAATGTACGTAGGTGCTTTATCAAAAATTATCATTTTTTTTTTCTCGCACAACACGGAATATGCAACGCACTTATCAATTTTCCATCACACGTAATTGGTTGCAAATAATACTAATTATAAAAAGTCGTTCAAATTACGCCGGTTGTGCATGCAAACTAATTAATAAAAAATGAAAAGCGTAACAGTATGACGGATTATTGGTTCAATCGAATATAAGGTTCAACCGCGTTTACACCTGTTAACGAAATTTTAGTATATTTAAATGTTAAGAATTTAGCTATGGACAAAATAAATAGTTCGGTTCGATGTTCAAAAAGTAAAAATAATGTGATTATAACGTTCGATAGATGGTTCACTCTGTTGGGTATTTTTGGATGCAACTTTGTTAGGATCAAAGATGGAAGTATTACAATATCCAAGATAAAAATTATACACTGTATTCTTGTTATGATTTATTGTGTTATTAACATTGGTTT